TCTTAATTCTTTTTTGCTCCTCGAAATACATTTGCCTGCGGGCGCCAATACCCCCTTTCTCATTTTTTTTTCATAATTAAAATTTAGTTGATTTTTGATTGTTGTGTACATAACAAAACTTTAATCCTAAATAATCACGTGCCATCCWATTAATCATTAAACCATGAACTGTATATTACATTTTTCTGTTTTCGGTCCATCAGTGAGTAAGTTTACATTATAATTTTTTCAACATTTTTTTTTGCTCCTCGAAATACATTTGTCTGCGGGCGCCAATACCCGCTTTCTCATTTTTCGTGTCATTATAAAATTTTAGTTGATTTTTGTGTACACAACTTAAAACTTAAATAATCTTGTGCTGTCCAACTAATTATTCAACAAGAACTGTATATTACATTTTCGTGTCTCCAGTGTGTAAGCTTACATTATAATGTTATCAACATTTTTTTTTTGCTCCTCGAAATACATTTGCCTGCTGGCGCCAATACCCCCTTTCTCATTTTTTTTTTCATCATTAAAATTTAGTTGATTTTTGATTGTTGTGTACATAATTCAACTTTAATCCTAAATAATCAGGTGTTTTCCTATTAAACATTAAACCACAAAATGTATATTACATTTCTTTTCATTTTATTTCATATTTAAATTTTGTTTTTTTTTGTACATACAATTTTAAACGTTAATAACAATATGACCTTTAAAAGTAAATTCTCTTAATATATTCTTACATTCCCATTTTTATAAGTTTTACCTATCTTTATTTTTTTATAAGAAACTTGTGAATTAAAGGCACAAGTAATGGATTGAATTTTAATTTTATTCATAATAAATAACATACTGTATAATGAAAAAACATTGTTTACAACATACTACATACAACATATTATGCATAATATGATGACAAGTATATCGTAGTATGGTATAAATATATTAATAACATTGATGATTTAAAATTTTTTTAAATACAAAAATAATTTTGCTATAACATTCAGTTATGCAGTTTAATCAATAATAAAAACTAAATGCTTGAACATAATAATCAGTCATTTTCTAAAAGTAATATTTTAATATTAATTATAATAATAATAATTATAATTTTTATATTATTATTATTATTATTGGCAAAGATTGTGAAGACGGTTAATTATAGGTTTGGCAATAATGTAATTAAACTTTAATTTAATAGAAATTATATTATTTCTGCCCTTATTCTGACAAAGAGGCGTTGGTTTTTGGCAGATAGACACGTATAAACTTAATGTTTAGGTACTAAATAAGATAAAACTCTCCCGTACGATGAACGTATGATACGCACTTATAGGAAACGGGCCTAAAGTGACTCATTAATATCCATGTATTCATTTGAATGCCTTCGCTTCTAATTTATTGACGCTTAATATAATTCTTTCGTGGATGAATTTTACACGCTGACGGACCAATTAAATGTTTATACCAATCTTGATGATCGCTTCCTATTTCATCCAAACATAACGGACAAATATTACTGACAGTATTTCTTTCTAAAATCAGATATTTAAGAATCATTAATTTATTTTTTGTAGGTAACACACAATTTTATATGGTTCATTATTCATATAAAACTAGTTAAGGTCGTATATCAATTTTCAATTTGATTTTTTGATTAATACTCGTTAAATTTATTATGCATATTACAACATAACCTACTTATTAGTTATTATGAATTATGATTGCTAAGTAAAATAGTAATTCAAATTACAGTTACACATCAAATATATGGACAACTATTTCAATATTTGGTAAAAATAGTTCAATTTAGTACTTTCTAAAATTGTTACTTAAGTATTGTTACTAAGAAATTAGTAAAGCGATATACAATATATCTATTTAAATTTTTGGAAGTTGATATAGGTACAGTTAAATTAAAATAGTTAGGTACCAATATACCAATAGAAAATAGAACTATACACTGCTATGAAATATTTATTTACAAAAATTATATACTTTGTCCATGAGAAAATCACTATATTCGTTGTAATAAATGGTAAATACTAAATTGTGTCTATAATCGGCAACTCATGTGGTGAGAAGTCTGCTTTGTAATATTTTATTTATTTAAGCTGATTATAAATATAAGATATTAAGGCAACTAACTTATTTAAAATATATGTATATAACACTCTAATGAGGTAGGTACTCTTATATGTTATAGTTTTATACTGACTTGTACATGTAGATCCTGAAATATGGTGTTCTAGAAATTCGATCTCAATCACYTCTAAACATTGATCGCATGTTGTATACTTATCTTTGAAATCGCATTCTTCTAAAGAAAGACAAATATCAGAGCTTTAAGTTAAGTCGTTTATTAAATAAACTCGATGCGAAAAAGCAAGTATTGAGTATTAGTAATAGGTACTTATTAAGTGATGTCGAAGTGCCATAATCTCAATAACTTCGGAACAGTGTTCGCAACGCATCAACAACGGACAATATTTCCAATAATGGATATTTAATTCTTCTTCGGAGAATAAAGATTCATCTTTGCAAAATGTACAACGGCTGAAACAGTGATAGAATTATAATATTAAATATTTAAATAGGTACCTACCAATATATATTATGTATTACATTTAATGCATTTATATTTTTTATATTTATTATATTATAATATATTCCAAGAAAATATTCTAAGGATATAGWGGACCAGAATCATGCACAAACCACTAAATCATAAAATATTATGTTAAGTATATCAGGTATAGTCTTGTGACGAATAATTCCTATACTATTAAAAAATTACATATTGCAAGTGCATCAAAATGGTGCCATTAATCGATACATTTTTATTTTTAAATAATATCAGAATAGTCATAATTATTTTGTCYCAAGTCAAGCACAGTGACTTAATCGGTTACTAAAAAAAATAAATAAATTCTAACAGGGACAAAAAATGAAATATTTCAACCATCGTAAAATTATTATCGATGCATCATTATAATTTTGAGGTATCTACACAAGCTATTCGTCAACATTTTATTTTTATACTTTTAAAATTATCGTATAAATATTATAATGCTCACTTTAATTTCAATGCATTGACATTTTCTTGGCCATTCTCGTAAACATCAGCCACGCTAGCTGATGTGCTGGAACTTAATTTACTCTGAACTATGCTATTATGGATATTTTCGTTGTTGTGATAAGTCGACGTATTCTCACTAGTCGACCGTACCAATTTGCATTGTATTTGACCGACTGTATCTATTTCGCCTAGTCTCTAAAAAATATATAGGAATATTATAATTTGTAGATACAATAATTTAACTGTCGTGTTTTTATTCTATTTTGTAATACATCTTTTAATTATTTCCTTTTTTATGAAAAACCTTTTTTTGTGAGTTTGTGACAGTAAAAACTAAAAATAAAACTCCAGAAGTTTCAAACAACACTTCAACAGTGGATAAATTGTACTTTTTTCACTTTGTAGGTACTTAAGAAAAAGTAAGCGAACCAAAGGGGGATCAAGCTTTTTTTACTCTTAACAATCTTGAATACATCGTCAACCTAGTTCCGATGTTTATATTTTTTCAAATGTTCAAATGCAAGTTGAAACAGATTTTCATTCACATTTCAATACATCGTTGTACAGTGGCGTATTTGGGATAATTTTTCARGGGGGGCAAAATACAAAAATCTCTCACTGTCACAATATAAGGAAATTGTAGTTTCAAAACCGGGTACCGTATATTTGGTTGGAACGCATGAATGCATGATAGGCGAGCATAGATTAGTAATAGTAAGCCTACTGCCTAGTCATAATACGCAATACGCATAATAATGAAATTTGACATTTAATAATAATTCAGTGCTAACGCATTTTGCGTAAAAAAAAGTCTCGGGGGAGGCAAATGCCCCTGTTGCCCCCCCCCCTCAAATACGCCACTGTCGTTGTAACGTTATGCTATCAAAATCTTTTACCAACTATAATTATGGTTTATCAAACCTCAGATATTATAAATTGTATACCAATATACATATTTGTACTCACTTCTTGGTCGATACGTTCAAACTCTTGCATTAGTTGCCTGTACATAATATTACGCCTGGTAACTTCGTCATCTGGTGGCAGTTGTTTTCGTACGAACCTAGGATTAACTTTGTAAACGTGTACTAAAATCCGTTCGGCAGCTTTGCGAACGGCTTCTGTTGGATGATGAATAGCTGACATACCAAATTCGCATAAAATACGACAAGTCATCCCACTAAAAAGATTTATGAATACAAATCAGTGAGATCAATAATATAATTATTAATTTATCATATCATAAGCAATAAGCATATACAAACCTATTTTTGTCGGACGACACTCCTTGGCTGACAATCAGTTGCTCAACCATTTCCAAGCGGCTGAGTATCAATCTGGGATGTATGTTACCGGTGAGTAAACGCGTCAAATGAGTCGGTATGATATTAAGTTTTCTAAAAATTAGAAATAATTATATGAAAGGTACATGCATATATCATATATATATATATACTGGTGTCCCGTGAGGATTTACCCATTGCGATATCTCCCGATGGATAAGAACTTCAATTATTTCATATTTTAATTTATTAATGTTTTGGTAAAAAAGTTAAATAAATTTTTTTATTTAATCATTTCCAAAAAAAAAATCAAGATAGCAATTTTGTAGAGTTTATTTTACTGAAAATATTGACGTTTCAAAATTTTATTTTCATTAATTTCCTGGTTTTTAATTTTTTTTTAATTTCGAAAAAAATTGGGAATTATTTAACACTGTAATGTTATATCAAACGTATGACTCGCCGCACCGCGCGCATTCCCATACGGCCGGCAGAATATACTCCCGTGTTCCTAATAGTTATCATATTTTATTTCTTCAAAACTAGAAAAAATATTATAATTATATAACAATTGTGGATCTTATTCCCGTGAGTCTTATTACAAAACCAGAATTTTGATATCTCTATTATTTAAATATCGAAATGGGTAAATCCTCGTGGTACATCCTGTATATAATGTAAGTATTATAGTAATTAATAGCTATGAAGGTATAACAAGTAGACAACTCGAATAAGTTTTATAGGACGGTACAAGTACCTTGTACTTTTAGGTAGGCATAGGCTGCAAAAGAAATGTTGTTGTACGATAATGTGTACAAAATAAAATTTATCAATTTTTCAATCTTCATTACTAATTATTATGACGAAATTGTTTTATTTTAATTTTTATCATTAGAGCATTAGACCCTATAATACAATGACACTCTGGGTTTGTGTGTTCGACACACGCAACACACGCGGTTATTTTGGCAGTGTACCTACTGTACCTACATATACAATACATTAATATCTACTCACCTTATGTCGGGCACTTCAGCTACACTCAATATGGTGTGCGTCGCTATGGTGTTAATACGCGGCGTCGTGTCTCCAGCTTTCGCCAACAGTTCAGGAAGCAGTGTTTCTAGACTTCGCGAAGCTTCGCCCGTTGAAACTCTACATATGAATAAATATATGGCGTATTTATGTAACTTACAATTTTACTATTTACAATAACTTATATTATAATTATAATATATAAGGCGTAGAACGTTATTACAAATTTTATATTTTATAGAATATATTAAACAGAAACGATTTGGCCGTGGTATACCTACTGTTTATTTGATGATTACGATTTACCTCCCAGGGATGAATTCTGAAAACAGGAACCTTATGATTTCCGCAGAGAGATTGTAGACAGCAAACACTTTGTCCCTAAGAGTTCGGTGCAACAGCTGGACAGCTGCCCGGGTCATTTTATTCGGAGAGTGTCGAACGTCAACACCGTCGAACATAAAACTCTTCATCGAACTTTCCATCAATTTCAACCCTTCAACTTTGTCCGAATATTGTTTCGAAAAAAAATATTTCACCTGCAACCATCAAATTTATCTTGCATCACGCACGAGCATCAGGTAAAAACATCAGATATAATATATCTTTTATGAAATAATAGTTTTAAACATAAACATGTTACATATTGTATAGTACATTATTAAGTATTATTAATTTTTATTGTATGCATGCGCGTACTATCGTAAGTCCAAACACGGCGATCGGAATAGAAGCCTGTTTCTTATCTCTGTCGGTTAACTTTGACGTTCCAACACCGCTTGTCGACGTCGACGTCAATGAGGAAGAGTCAAGATTATTTTGCGTTTGGCAACTGAAAAATAAAAATCCCGTGAATATATGAAAAATTATCTAAATATTGAAAGTTTAACGTGTGGTTATACATGTAATTCGTGTATACACAGAAACACGTACAATCTTTGTGCTGGAATAGCTTGTTCATCATATGCATCGTAACTGCTCTTGCTGGATTTTGGACGGATTGGTTTAGGTCTTTTTAACGAGATTGCTTTCGTGATGATCGTTTGCTGTAGCTTTGGTGATCTAATTAAAATTGTTCATCAACATCTGTACAAGTTATTTTTATTCAATATGAGTTTATTGAGATTACTGTTTCTCGGACCTTTCCCTAGAATTATTTTCGGGATAGTGAAGTGGCGATACTGGACTATGGTAAATGTCTGGTTCATCAACCACTTCGGTTTCGGTTGTTTCTGGTACGATTTCTTGTTGACAAGGCTTGGTCGAAACTTGTTTTGGCGATACTATTGGAGACAATGAAGCTACGTTCTTGGCATCGTCAACAGATCCTGGTGTCTTGTCAACGAGATCTTCAGGTTCCTCATCATTAATTTCTAAAGGCTATTAAAAACGCATATTTAATGATATGATAGTTAGTTTCCGTACAACAATTAAAACACGAAAAAAGGTACAATACTGCACCGTATAACGATTCAGTTGAAAGTATGTGTCGATTAGTAGATATAGTATGTACTTAATAGCAAATAGTATAATATGCTTGTTTTTGAACTCGATTAATTGATTACAAATTATAAATAATGATTTTATTCCTATAGTGGCATGGCCGTGGCGTACTATTTTTAATTAATAAGGTAATATAGTCGGTTGGTATTTGTTAGGGTAATTTAATATTAGTTGCAACAATCGTATCGCACCCTACTCGACTCACCCCATTTTTTTCCAAAAGGTCATCTACCCGATTTTCAATCATCACTTGTGCACGATACTCTTCCATTTGGGTTTTTTTCTTCTTTGCTTTACCGTAGTCTTCGTTTTGTATCGCCTGGGTTTTTGATAATTCTAATTTTCCTAGTTTTTCTCCAGCAGACCTTAACTCCGTCATCGCCCCTTTTAATTTTCTCGCATACTCAAAACGTTCATCTGAGTAAAAGGCCATGTTTTAATTATTTTATTTCATGACATACCTAGGTTTAAAAAATTTAATTTACCTTGAACAGCAATAATCTTTCTGTTTTCAAGCATTCGAATGATTTTCGCGATGTGTTTGTCCACGTACATCTCGAAAGCTAAGTCATCGCATATTGAACTGTGATGTGTGAAGCCTCCTTGATCTGTATGTTGTTTTTCGCCTGTTACTTGTATACCTATTAAGCTCACCTATATTTTTAAAAATAACATATTTAGGTAATATGGTATAGTTAAAATAAATATTAGTATAAAAGACTAACTTGATTAAAACGGTTTAAAGAATTTGTATGGTTTTCGTACAAAACCAACTTGACATAACTAGTCGCACTAGCTAATGGTAGAGAAATAGTCTTAAGTTCTCTGCTCTTCACTGTACCTCCATCGTTATCATTAAGCGTAATATAACCTAAATATTCGTAATTTTGAGTTGATACATTATCTGTTTCCACGCATTCTTCTGGCCCGATCCATATTTCAATTTTATTGGCTTTAAACAATAAAAAAAATGTATATACACGTACATAATTATATACTATTGCCATCAATTATCATTCATGCATAGAATATTATTATAAGTATGTAGGTAGGTACGTTTAAATCTTACGCATTACAATTAAATAATTTTTTGAATAAACAATTATAAAATACTAAATCGTATCTCGATCTTAAGCAGTAAATGCCATATTCTCAAAATTGTTTGGTTTACTTATGATAAATATCTTAATAACATTAGATTAATTGGATAATTTATTTTACACTTACGAATTAAATATTGATGAGCAAGTATCTGGATTTGCTGGATCACGGTGGTTTCGTGGAGTTTAAGTATTAATTGCTGAGGATATTCGCAATTTTTGGAAGACCTCCACCCCTTAACGGTCGGACCATGGTTGTTAAGTTCAGAGCTTTGATAAATAATATCTTCGCCTAATTATATATTTTAAATATGAATTAACAACTAATAAGTCAGTCTGAAAAGATGCTTTAAGAAATTAGATTAATATTAAATATTTATTTGTGTATAGCCGTTATTTATAATATTGTCAATTATCAGAAATATAATAGGTGCTACCTATAATTTAATAGTATATTTCAACCATATACTTTTTTAATTGGTTATATCGTATACAGTATACACTACTCTATTTAATATTTTTAAATGTACATAAATACATAACATATAAATAGATATAGTCGATATAGATGATATGTTTGTGGCATATTTTTGGTGATTTCTCGAGGGGTGACCAACATTTGATAAATACATAAAATAAAAATAGTAACTTATAAAATAAATGATAATATACCAATATTTAGATTTTTTTTTTTAAAGTCGGGGATGTCCCCAGACATCGATGACACCC